CGGAGGAAATCGTAAGAATTAGACCCCTAAACATCGTTTTTGGTACATTCTGAGCATCTTTAATGGCAATCTTATGGCTCCAAAATTTACTGTTCGTGCACAAATAATTCCGGAAAAAGGCTGTATTAAATTTGTTTGCCACTCCGATCGTATTACGCGCGGTCCTTGCGCCCGCCCAACAAAATAGACAGAAAAATAAAGAAAGCATATTTAAATGTCAATTTGATCGAAAATATAATCATTGGGATCTGAAAAAATGTCACAGGTTCGCTTTTTGGAAGTTTTGTTTCTGTTTTGACGGTTTAATTCTAGCGGGGTGCGGTCCATAAATGCCCTATGGAAATTCACCCCGCGTCCCGGTACACTGACTTCCGGGTTCCTTGAACAAGAATATTACGAGAAAAAGGCCAAAAATCGGCGTAGAGAAATATAAATCTCCCCGACAATTCTTTTAATTATGCATTTCTGTAATAGGATGTTGCTAAGTAGTCGTAGAAAAAACGTAGAAAGCGGCGTAAATGTGTCTCTCTTCTTCACCGGCGAAGAAAAATGTTCCCGCGCTGCGTGCTGCTAGCCACATCGCTTATCCAATCAGAACGCAGGTCATGTGAGGTGAACCAATCAGAGCGTCGATCACGTGGTGCTACTTACTTATTCATGACAAGATGGCGCCTGAAATCTCCTGTTTCTGTAACTTACAGCGATGCGGAGTATGCGTTTTTTATGCCGGGGTTTTCTTAGTTTTGACGCTGATTTTTGGCTCGCCGTGATTGCGCTACAAATGACACACTAGTGGAGACAACAGATGAGTGATCATTTTACGATCGACAAGAACTTTTGATGAATGAAAAAGCTGTGAAATCTCGCTGATGGCGATTTGTTTTTGAAAATTTGTCTTGTGTTTCTAACTGTGTAAGAAAGATATGAACACGATTCTGTACATGTCTTGATATTTTTTGAGTTACTTACTAACTTATTTGTAGCAGGAATGTTACTAGTGCCGGGAGAATTTGGGAAGGTAGCGGCTTGATAAATTTTCGTGAGCAACGAGTTTAGGAAGCAAATTCCGCCTAGCTCGAGCGATACGGAGCGATACAGCTCCGCGGATACCACTCGAGCCCAGAACAACAAGACCCTCCCCCCGTAAAGTTTCGGCCGCTCTGGCGGCGGGCCGCTCGTAGAAGCAAACGCTGACTCGTGCACTAGAAAGCTGCACAGGAGGCTAAGAAAGAAGCAGTTTTCAGATCCAGAAAGCTAGCAGAAAATTGTCTGAAGTTCGTCAGAATAAATGAGCCGGTGGAGTTTGTGAGAAAAATTGCGGAGACTACAGTGTTTTTCTGAAAATTTACACGAAAGTAGCCGGCGCAAAAATTTGAGTAGGCGGCGATTTTCGCCGGTAGCCGGCTTGTTTTGAGAAGGCTGTACTGGCAATGGTGTCTGAACAGTTTTTAGTGTAATCCATACTTCCTAAATTCTGAGTGGTGCAGATAAAATTTGCTTGGTGCAGGTACATGTGTACTGGTAATTTTCAATGTTACCTGCACCATGGTAGATTTCTGGCATTTATAGTTGGCAACAAAACACAAGTAGTGCCGTAATTTTGTCACACTATCACAAAATACCAAAATTAAACAAACATGACCGTTACTTGTATTTTTATGATATAATAATATTTTAGCATCTCCACTTCCACATGAGAGCACATACCAAATGACACTTTGCATGTAGAGTAGGGTTGATTAAACTTACTTTATACAGAAATGACCGAAAAATTTACTTTTTGTATAGTCCTAAGGCCACACCAATTTACTTTCTTGGTTAACGGATTTTTCTAGAAAAATAATGAAGCGGGCGGGCGAAAAAAAATAAAAATATGAACAGGCCTAGGCATTATTATGGCCCAAAATGGTACGATAGGAGCCATGAAGTCAACATACCAGGCTGGATCAAAATTTAAACAATGAATTTTGAACTTTTAATGATACCACTGCATTGAAAGATGGAATAACTGTAACAATTAGGAAGGACTGTTTTCAACTGTTCAGGGCAAAATATGAGCATTTCGCAGTTGATTCTGAATTTTTATTTTTATTTGCAAATCAGAAAAAAATGAAGCGGGCAAATCCGTTAACCAAGAAATTAAATTGGTGTGGCCTAATGTTACATAATGGAGCTTTAGGTGACTATGTGGCAGGTTGTTCTTACCTTAGGAGAACAGCGGAAGTGCATGCCTGGTACAGGCAGAGTGGTGACATACATGGTGATACACCTCAGTAGGTAGAGAGTCCCTACGATCAGGCAGTACCTCCTGAGTACTATCCACCTGCAGGGAACAGGGAAAGGCACAGGTAATATGTTAATCCCCTGTCACACATAGCCAATATAGCCTCCCAAATACTGTTTCCCTCCAGCCATGGTTGGGAGTCAGTCGGGAGCAAGGTGGACTATGGTTGACTGGTGTTCGAACATGTTGATCAGGCTTTTAGCTAGGATTTATAATGCTCTCAAACACTACTTTCTGCATTTTGAGGTGCAAATTTTGAGGAATTGGAGTTTTTTTCTCCTTCAGTAAACCATCATTTTTGTATTTATAGTAAGGCTAAAGGGAGACATGTGTGCATGGCAGGGGTTGGGAGTGGGGGAAAAAAGGGTGTCTTTAGGGTTTCATACCAAAAAGTACAATGTAGGGCGTCCGATTTCTTACTATACTAGTATTCAAAAGACACCCATCCAAAAGACACCCTGGACACCCCCTAGCTAAAAGCCTGCTGGCGACTGTTCGGCTGTGCCAGCCGAATGTTTCAGAATATTTAAAACATTTGCATGGACAGGAGGCTCAGCCATGGTTGGCTGGTGTTCTGGAGTAGGTCAATAGAGGTTGGGGCAAAATTATAGCAGTATAGGGTTCTCCCCAGATAATGTTAGAAGAGTTGACTCAACTTGTTGGCACACTCCCCAATTTCCCCTTTCAATCTAGCGGGATCGAATCATCTCGCAATGTTTTCCTTCAAAACTTGTTTCTCCTTGGTCAGAATTCGTGACATATCGGTAGCTATGAGTTTGTGTTCCTGTTTTAATTCAGTAGCCAACTATGACCATTGTCCAACTAGTTAAATATCAACTAAAAAGAAAATACATGTAGTGCTATAGTCTGACTTGTCAAAATGTTAGCAAAGCAAGGCATTCCCAGCAAGAGCCCTTCTCAACAAATGCTGGGATACAGAGGAACCCTATATATAGTTAGAAGAAAGGTAGGTAGATAGGTACAAGAATAATGTTAGAAGTTCTAACATTATTCTTGTACCTAAAACATAAAATGAACTCCAGTAGCATGTGCATGTATCAATAAAAGTTCAGAAGTAAAGATCAAAGTGCAGAAAAAAAGGGTCAAAGAACACTTAACTGCACAAAGCTATATTTGTTATGACCTCCAATATCTAAGGAAATTGTCAGTGTTTTACAGGTACCGATTCACATTTTCCTGACCCTAATACAAGTACAACCACTTATTCTATTATAGAGTAATTTGCAAAAGACAATTGGGAGAAGAGACAAAAATGGGTTGCACCATCTTCTGTCCTTTCAGAAATCAAACAAAAAAGAGTAGGTGTGGGAATGTGACTATGGTAAGGGCTTGTTGTGACTTTCAAGCTTTCTTGAGTCGCAGAAATTTTCAAAGAACGATTGAAATCCTAGCTACAAATACAAAATAAGCCACAACTAGGGATTTCTTTTGTTCAGACCTTAGTTGCAACTGGACAATCCTGCCATGGTGTTACCTGTTGCCATAGGCTGGAATTAAGGGGAGCTAAAACATCTACTGCTCTCTGTCTTATGTGTAGGTGGCTAGCTTTGTTACTATTAGTGGTACTCCATCGCGTACCAGTGCTGCAAGTCAATATCAACCATCAGTCCTTTCGCATATACACAATCTCAAAACAAACGATGGGATGGAAATCTGTTCTGCCCTGTATTGGAGCAGGAAAATATAATATATGATCTTTCCTACTTGCTCAAAGATTGGACACACCTATAGTACTTTGTTCAAACCCTCAAGAAAATGTCACCTTTGAGTTTACCTTTTCAGATTCATCCCTTTAAGTTGTACTTTAAACTATATGAGGTACATGCATATATTTGCAACCACGTTGTATGAAATATTGTTCACAAAGTTGGATGACTAAACAAACCTGGTACTAGTGGTAGTGGTAAATTTGAATTTGTATATTTTTCTTTTTCATCAAGATTTTGTACACAAGAAAATTCATAAAAATGAAGAATTAAACTAACTCCTCCGGGTTCAAACCAACCAGAATGGCAGCTACTTGATGTAGTATCATGTGTAAACATCCTACTACTGGTACATTTTCAAGCAAAATGGTGTCAAAACCAAAATGATGATCACTTACTTGTGTTTGTGTAGAAACCAGACTATTAGCAAGATTGCTGAGTTTATCATTCCTGCGATTTCGCACACAGAGAACGCCCAGACGACTCTGTCAAAGTAATCAAAGAACACATCTGGAAGCGGCGGTTCCACTGACTTGTCCGGAACACGTTCATGAATGATGTTTATAAAAATTGGGTTCAACATCATCATACCACACAGGTAGATGAAAGCCACAAAGGTCTTGCCCTTCTCCGAGGGGAAGTGCGGCTTTTCCACGTCCGTCATGTTGATTTTGACAAGGGTTTCCAGAGTTTTTGAGATGTCGCGCGGGCTGTCGGAGCGCGTGGGGCTCGAGTCTCCGCTGCTGGAGCGCCCGTCGGGGATGTTGGGGCGGAACGTGAAGGTGTCATGGCGTAGCTGCGTTATGGCATCCACCAGGCGCTTCAAGTCGCCCAGCACATGCATAGAGATCGGGGGCTCTCTCAAGTCCTCCTCTGTTAGAGATAGCAGGGCCACCCCGTTTAGCCGATGTCTGTCGCATAGCAATTCTGTGTACTCTTGGAAGCCCTTCTCGACCATCCACCGTCGCACATCGTCCGTGCTCCACTCCGTGACGTCTGCCGACAACATGATGGGCGAACCCCCCGCCTCGACGTCCAGCGAACTCTGCATCCTGAAGACTGCGACTTGTGGGGGCCTTTAACCTCTCGTGTTTACAGTGGCCACGTCATGGGACAGAACTGTGGAGATATAACAGTACAAGGGTCAGGTAAAAACTGCAAACTGGGCATGATGCAAGCTAAGGTACCAACACACTACAACAGCTACATATGCATACACATGCAAGGTAAACATGACCCTTAGTATTATGCAAACAGTAATATGGCAGGAGACTGAAGTACAGCCAGTGTGCTGCTGTATGTTGATAATAATTAGGAAATGACCAGAAAAACACTTGGACTGGCTAAAATGAGCTAACTGTAGTTCTTGATTTTTTCATGGTTCTTTTATTCACTGTACACACTTCTGTACCATTAAATTACCATAGCCATTATCAAATTACCACTGTGAATCTACTACTAGTATGTTCTGTGAACATGTCCATTTTCCTCAGTCCATTAAATTTTTCTCCCATGAACACATTTGTGAATTACAGATGTTCGCCATAATTTAAGTTCGTAACAGCATAATCAACCATGAGAAATATACTTTTTACAGTAATTCCCTACTTCTTCTCTACAGTGCTTTGTCATATTTCTAATGTCATCAATTTTTGTAATTTGGACGAAAAAAGAATCTTTTGTAGTTAGGACAAAAAAGAGTCTGATATAATCCATCAGTGGAGATAACTATGCATGACTAAACCATCTGTCTTTTAGAGACAATGGATTACAGGTCACAAAATATAAATAGACAGTATAACAATGTATACTATATGCTAAGTATATTGACCTAGAAAATGATATAACAAAAGTAAACATACACAATACTAGTAGCATATTACAAAACACATTTATACCTGTTTCTTTGAACATTTGCTTATACATGAATACCTGCAGGCTGCTTTTCATTGAGGTCATGAGAGAAGAGGTAAGGGTCAGACAAAATGTATAACTAACGTTTACATTATTTATTTAGTCCTAAAAATCTACACACATATTTTTATACATACCGACCTACCTACATTGACCAACCAGGTTGTCAGGGGGACAAGGCAGTTTTCTTATAGCCTACTAGTAGGTACCATCCTGGTTAGTTTACGTTCGCTCCCACAGTCGCTACTTATCAATCACGTACCCAGGTACATGTACCAGGTACACAGGCTAACAAAATACTAAATGGTTTGAGTCCGTTTGTTTTGGTCTTTTCTGATTTCTGTAAGCTCTACCCTGGAGCAAGAAGATAAAAAGAGTTGTCTGAACAAAACCTTTTGTTTCCTAAATACATCCTCGGGGAAGCTTTACATCTTTACCAGCATTTGTTTATCTATTAGTTGATTAGTTTACTACTTTAGGAACACTAGTAGTTAAAGTGTTAATGAAAAATAAACTGTTGCTAGTGTTTTAGATAAATCAGACAGATCTTTTCAAGTCCACCGGTGCCACTGACCAATTATGATACCAAAATTTAATCTACTCTGAGTCATTGGAAAGATCAAAAGGTTGCCAAGGTCCTCATGTCAAGAATCTGAAAGTTTATTATGGTAGTATTGTCATGACCTAAGAAGTAAAAAAGGCCTAGGACACTGTCACAGAACTTTTAGTCTATCCTAGACCAGTTGAAAAGCTATAAATTCTGTTCTAGGATTCTGAACATTAATTTCAACTCCATTGATATTTTATTTGCCCTGGTTGCAAACAATATTGATCATATCCTTCCTATATACAATTGCTATGACGCATACAATGTTTGAACCTGAATCCCTATAATGGCATATTATACTCAAAATCTACACTGAAACTAAACTGAAGTAGGCTCTCATCCTATTGAAGCCAGGCTGCTGTTTTCCAACAAATGTTACGTAAAACTAAAACATATGTGTTCTTTTGAAAGGAAAAGGCACAACATATACATGTAAGACATGGAAATTCTTGATTAGTGGCAGAACTTACTGACATGTCCAGATAGCCCCAGATCCAGCTTTCTTGAACAGAATGCTTGATTTGAACAAGTAACCGTAACTTGAAGATCGACCTACATTCCTAACTTTTAAGTACCTGAAGCATCTTGAGGCAAGAGTACCACTGAATATAGGACTATTTTGAGGGTACTTCTGTGTCAAACAATGCATCTGTTGTTCTGCCTTCTACTCTTAAAGAGCCAACTGTGCAAACAACTATTCAATTTAAAACTTGCTACCATGGTAGACCAGTACAGTACGCCACATGAATTTGATGCAGATGACATATTTTGTAGGACTAGGAGTTACTAAGACCCGATTTACATGGGGGCAAAAATGTGACCGTGCGAAAAAGGCATCCGCAGACAGACATAACATCAAAGTTTTCCTGCATATAAGTCGGCCTGATTTGACACACGCCAAGAAAGCACATTCAGATCATAAGCCTATAAGGTACCTCAAGGGCTGGCGTACGATCTGAAGAACATTCCTTGATGTACGTCTAAGCAGTTCGTTTGCATGCAGGAAAAATTTGATGCATGCACTGTTCATACGCTCGCATGATTGTGTACACAGTTTTCGTACGGTCAAGATTTTTCCCGCATGCGAATTGTGTCTAGGCCAAACAAATATGACGTGCATTACAGCTTTTCGAGATCCCACTATGTATAATCAAAACACATTTCTTGATTTTGTGATAGATCTATTTGAAAGGCTCACTGTTTTCTACATTTGTTGTTGTCACTGGTATTAATGTTACTGTGGCTTTATTCTAAAAGAGACTAAAATCAAAAGCAATATGCAAACATGTATCAAGAATAAAACAAGGTTTGTGTAGCCTATGTGGAAAAAAACATGCTAAATTTGCCACCTACAGGGTAACCCAATCCTTGTTATTCTGCTTGCTTGACAAAATGCCAAAGGAGATGTACTTACCAACAGCACAGGCATAACAAACGCCACCAGCACTGTGTGTGCAAAAACTTACTTTGAAATCCATTTTGGGACAAGGCCTTAATCAAAAGACTAACCTTACAGTTCAGCTACTTTCCAACCATTGTCTTTTTCAAGTAGTTTGCCCAGTAAATGTACATATACTTACATAAAAGAGGCCGTGTACATGTATGTGTTTGCCAAAGCAGGCAGAATGATGTCACTGCTATACGGTGCTGACAGGACACTTCTACAAGGTGTCAACCTCATTTGAATAGAACCTTTGGACCAAACGTGTAGTGTTGCAATCCATGACAATATTGCTACGTGACCATACTCTAAAAGCAGAGATTTAGGTTTCAGCTTATTTTTAACATCTTTATAGGCATTTTATGAGGCTTTCTTTATTGCACTGGTATTTTTTTGCCAGCCAAAATGGAACAAAATTAGATAGAGATTCGTTGACCTGCCTGTTGCTGGGTTGCAGATGTCAGAAGTCATTTTGATAAAACAGCGCCTGGGGTGAACCCGGGAAAGTAAAAAGGTCACGCTTGCATATAGCAGAGCTTTCACATATCATTAATTCCAATAAAATGGTGGAAGAAAATG